TGGAGAGAGCACACCCCTGAAATTATGGCAGATAGAGGAAGCAATAGCTTCTTTGCTATCTGCAAGCAACAGCTTCTTTGCTATCTGCCGAGGCCCAGGGTTGCCCCCTGCATTGCCTGCAGGCTTTTTTTTATTCTTGGCTCTCTCCACAGTATCCGGCGGCCGCCCGGCCCCCTCATCTCTGCGCCAAGAGTGTCGGGTCTTTCCCACACTACCGGCGCAGAGATGAGGGGGCCCGCCAGCCGCCGTACACCAATGTGGTTAACAGACACTCCCGGCGCAGAGAGGGGGGGCAGCCGCATATCGATCCGGTGGTAACCGGCAGCCGGACACCAATGGGCCCCCCCATCTCTGCCCCGGGGCTGTGTTTGAATGGATACTGAGCCCCCCTGTAGGCTCAGGCCCTGGTGCAGTGGCACCGGCGGTAGTTCCGCCACTGCTGATGTGTCTCTGCAAGTGGCTGGAGCCACTGCACAAAAGCTAGTAGGGGCTACACAAGCCCAACGTCACTCAATAAGATTGTGTTAGGTTGTGTTTTGTACATTAAGCTCCCCAAAAAACAAGCTTAATGTAACTAATTTGCCTTGTGGGTAACCAATTCCATGAAACTTCCAGGATAGGTTTGGGAAGCTGAGAACTTAGGTTGTGCAAAGTTTCAATTGATTGAGGTTTAGGCACATTATGGTACATTAAGCTCTTTTTACATTAAGCTAAATGTTTTAGGAAAGGAATAAAATAGTTTAATGTGAATAACTTTTGGTATGTTTTATCAAATGACCCAAAATCTTCAGAATATGTTGGCATAGATAGAGTCTTGTAGTATAGGAAGTTTGGGGGAAATTGGTTAACATCTAAGTTGTTTTTTGTACGTTAAGCCACATTAAGCTCCCCAAAAAACAAGCTTAATGTCACTCATTTGCCCTGTGGGTATCCAAAATCCATGAAACTGCCAGGATAGGCTTGAAAAGCTGAGCACCTGGGTTGTGCAAAGTTTCAAGGCAATTGATTGAGGTTTAGTCCCATTATGGTACATTAAGCTATATTAAGCCATTTTCACATTAAATGTTTTAGGATTTCCCATATCTGAGTACAGCATTTATGGATCATATCCTTTTCCACGGTCCACTTTGCCCCCCCAAAAAATCCTCATTAAAAGTATGTCAAAGGATTTTAATACATAATTCCTACATTCTGTTTACTCACATAGTATAATATGTTACAGTCTGTGTTTGCACACTTACACCAAGCATCATCATTCAGTTCTTTATGCGTTCTTTCCTAATAAACATCATTTCCTCCTTGGACTGGGTCTGCTGCAAGTTAGTACTCAGAGGTTTCACAGATGATCTTTTATTCTTCCTCTTACACCACTTCTGGATGCTACCCCCACCTCCTCCATATTGTTAAAGATGTTAATCATAATTTATTTTACATATTGTATACAACATTTCTCCCGATGTTATACCCACAAATTGTGCCTCTAGTTCCACTCCTCTACTAGGAGGTCTCTGTTGACTTTATCCCAGTTTCTCTTATCCAGTCCTATAGTTTTAAATGCATCTTTGTGCTTCTTTAGGCAATACTGTATGTACAATTGGAGTTAGATATTCTTAAAAACCAAACCATATATAACAACAGTGTTTTATATAAAACAGGATTCAACTTTGTTCAGTGTGTTAAACAAGACAGAATAAAAGGTTAATATCAATAGCACTTGCTTAAAGTTTATTTTTAATGTGATATAAAACAAAATAAATCTAATACATCAAACACCAAAATAAATCTAATACATCAAACACCATTACAATCATGTGCTCTGCATTCATATAGGTTTTAAACTTTTAAAATATCCCATTACTGACAGTATCCTTATGCAGAACATCTATTTGATTCCTGTTTCTTAATATGTCTGAGCAAGTTCCAACTCATCGATAGTTTATGTCCCTAATCAGAGGGCTATCTTAATCATAAGGAACTTTCCACTGTAAATAGCTTCAGCTGCCAAGAGGTGCAAAACTCAGTGATGGATAACTTTCACTATCGTCCTATTCATGTACTGGATAAACATCTTACCAACCCTAGTTGTAGGACAGTTTAGATCCCAGTGGATCTCAGCAGTTGCAAGTGCTTAATAGTTTGGAGCTCCAGGCGGATAATATTCTGACATATGTATATACTTACAAATGATAAATTCCATGTTACCTTGTTTATACCATCCATTAAAATCTTAAAGAGGAACTTTACATATATCTTTAAAGTAACAACAAACACACCTTTAGATATGTTTAGTAATGGCAATCTACAAACAGATACTTATAGTTAATTGTGCTATAGAGGAAACAAAAAGGAGAAAGAAGCACCACAACCCAGGTAAAAGAGGGTGAAGCGAAGGGGTGAAGAAAGTGTGAGATGTTATACTAACATGTAATTGGGTGGATCTGAGCTTTGGTCTTTAAGAACTCTTGAAGGTGAAGCGATGCTTGCTGAGTCAGACTTGAGGTGGGATCTCTGATGTGGTGACGTAGGGGTCCTACCTCAAGTCTGACACAGTAAGCATCGCTTCACCTTCAAGAGTTCTTAAACATCAAAGATCAGATCCACCCAATTAGATGTGAGTATAACATCTCACACTTTCTTCACCCCTTCGCTTCATCCTCTTTTACCTGCGCTAGATCGTATCGCTTCTTCCTCCTTTTTATTTGCTCTATAGCTCAAATGTCGGACACCCCAGTCCGCACACACCAGGAGCAGAGCTGCATGCTGATGTGATTTTATTAGGGGGTAAAGGTCCACTTTAAGGGCATGTGCGGATGGGCAGTGCAGCTTAGTTGTAATAGATATAAACTTCTTTATATTTGATTTGTAAGTGAAGGTTTACATATTTGAATTCTGTAATTGTTTAGGATTTCAGCTCATTGGGGCACCCGGGCATAAAGTACAATCTTTAGTTATCTGTGGCAGTACATAAATAACTGCAACTTTAAAATGTTTGTTATTATTTATATCACTTAATTTTGTGTTTTAACGCCTTACCACACAAACTTTTCAAATTATTTCTCATTATTTGCACATATTTTGTAATAACTTTCTTTGTCCTCATTATGCCCGAGAATTGTAATCTACCCTATCTACAGTCCCCCCTCTCCTACCTCTTCTGCAGGCTTCATCAAAATGGAGAGATCTTTTTAAAGCCTGTCCAAGGCTGCCCTTCTCTACCTTTCTCCTAATATCCTATATTCAGCTCCTGCCCAACCTCCTCTAACCTGTCCATCACCTGATCTTATTTGCTGCTCTTTGTTTGCCTGGTCCACAACAGTATCCTCTTTGCCCAACACTATTTTACTCTCCTTTGTCCTAGATCAAAGTATGTCACACTTATGGTTACATCTTGAAATTATTATTATGCAGTGGGTTAATATTCAAAATCAGCAACAATCCAAAGAACACATATTTAGTTTGGATGGAGAGATGTTAGAAAACAAATGTCTGAAGTGCTGCTATAAGTCCCCATTCACATCAGGGCGTTTATAGTTCGTATTTTTCAGCACGGAAAAGCTCTACCCAAGAAATCACATTGATTTCTATAATCCCCTTATAATTACATTGAGCTGATCTCCCTAAATTGACAGGCTTGTGCGGAGCTTTTCCGTGCTGAAAAATATGAGCTACAAGTGCCCTGGTGTGAATGGGGACTTAGAGTCTTCTGCCTAACATTTATGCCATTTGTCAATTCAATCTTGGTAAATCATCAGTGAAGTATTTTGATAGTGGACCTTGTACACTGAGTGGCCAGATTATTATGACCACCTGACGTTTGTAGGCAAATTAGCTATAATTAGCTATAATTTCGCGCTGGATCTCATGAGGCGGCCCAACTAAGTCATCTCGTGGAATCATCTCGTGGCCCAACGAAGTACTGATGGGGTGGTCATAATAATCTGGCCATTCAGTGTATATGACTCTGGTATCATAGATCTGGCTTTTGTGTCATGCTTTTTGACGGGCACAAGATGACGTATATTTATTTTTCTGGCACAATTCTTGAATCTTTCTGTCGGAACCAGGATTCATTTTTTTTTTTTTAGCCATTTAAAATAGCTCTTCTATTGGATCGGACTATATGGGCCAGCCTTCGCTCCCCACGTCCATCGATGAGCCTTGGCTGTCCATGACCCTGTGCCCAGTTTTCTTTTCTTGGACCACTTTTGGTAGATCCGGACCATTGCAGACCGGGGACATCCCACAAGAGCTACAGTTTTAGAGTTGCTCTGGCCCAGTCATCCAGCCATCACAATTTGGCCTTTGTCAAAGTTGCTCAAAGTCTTACACTTGCCATTGTTTGTTCTTCAAGCAAATCAACTTCAGGGACAGAATGTTCACTTGCCATTGTAAGGAAATAATCAATGTTATTCTCTTCAACTCTTAGTGGTCGTAATGCTATGGTTGATTGGTGTGTGCATGGGTGTGTATGTATGGATCTATGTATATTGACTTTATATATAATATGCTGGGTCCACTTTAATGTTACATGTATGCTTTTTACATGCTTTCATTATCAAAGTTATGTTTTTCAATTTTCTGAGCAAATATTTAAAATGTGTATCACATTAATATTTTTATTTTTACACTTTGTTAAGTAGTTAGCAAATGGGCCAAGGAATGATTTCCATATGAAGTTTTTTTTTTTTCTTCCTTTTTTGTAATTTAATTAAATATTACCAAGAGAGGCGTGCATCCAACAATTTACATTGGATAGAAGTGGATATATCCTAGCAATTAAACAGGAAAGTCATTGGTCTACTTTTAGGCCTGGAGACGTGGATGTTTTATAATGGTTGAATGCCTTTTCAAATCATGGGTATTGCATAGAAATTAGGAGGGATATGTTTTTTTTATAGATGTGTTGGTCTATCTCAGTGCTGTTTATTCTTTATAAAACACTGTGCCTTTTGATTAGTACCATAATGTATGGTAAATATGCTTTTTGTCTTTGTTTTTAGTCTCCTGCTGAACAGGCCAAAGCAACGCTGCAGATGGTTCTCCAAGCTGCTGGTGAGTGATGGTAGATGAAGGTTTGCGTTTGTGAGACTGAAATAATTACCGAGCAGAAACTACACTGTGGAACATACCTCATTATAAGGCGGTAAAATGTACTGGCACTGCTGCAAAGTCTATTTCTATCATTATTTTAAAGAGGAAAGGAACTAATTTAAAAGAACAATGACAACAAAAAGTAAAGAATTATTTGCATTCTTTCTGGTACAGCAATTATGGGACGAGGTTAGCAAATGCACATCCCTCTGAAGGGCATATAAAGTAATTTCTGAACCTCCAGCAAACAGAAGATCGTTTTTACAATTAGAAGCAGCCGGCATGCTGCCTAAGGTTGCACAGAGCTGGTAAACAGAAGACATTCAGTGGACATTAGGTGGTTTAGATATTACTATTTACTGTCTGGAGAAAGCATGACCTAGAGCACCATACGTAGTTGTCTATTAAACCCCTGTTAGCATACAAATATAAAACTATATATATA